TATAGGATATATGTTGTAGGGTGTGTTTGTTGATATACCGTTTATTGTGTGTGTGTATATATATATATATATATATATATATATATATATAAAATATATATATATATATATATATATATATGGTATTCTAGTTGCTGGATTAATAGAAGTAAATTATGCTGGCTGTAACCCCTTTAATTTATTGTGATGGTATTTTGGGGCACACGTGGATGACTACTATCTTTTTTTTTTGGTACTGTCCACCATATATATATATATATATATATATATATATATATATATATATATATATATATATATATATATATATAGAGAGAGAGAGAGAAGAGAGAGAGAGAGAGAGAGAGAGAGAGAAGAGAGATATAGATAGAAAGACACACTCATATTTGTATATACTGTATAAGTAGATATCTATCTATATCTATATATATACATATATATATATATTGAGAGAGGGACACACACATAACTACACACATATATACATATACTGTATAAAAACATATATTACATAGACAGACACACAACAATCACACACATATATACAGATACTGCATAAGTATATATTACATAGACAGACACATAATCACACACATATATACAGATACTGCATAAGTATATATTACATAGACAGACACACAATCACACACATAAATACATATACTGTAAAAGTATGTATTATATAGACAAACACACACAATCACACATATATACAGATACTGTGTAAGTATATATTACATAGACAGACACACAATCACACACATAAATACATATACTGTAAAAGTATGTATTATATAGACAAACACATACATACACATATACTGTATATGTATGTATTATATATAGACAGACACACAATCACACACATATATACATTTACTGTAAAAGTGTGTATTATATAGACAAACACACAATCACACACATATATACAGATAATGTATAAGTATATATTACATAGACAGACACACAATCACACATATATATATATACTGTAAAAGTATGTATTATATAGACAAACACATACATACACATATACTGTATATGTATGTATTATATAGACAGACACACAATCACACACATAAACTCATATTCTCTAAAAGTATATATTATATAGACAGACACAATCACACACATATAAACATATACTGTATAAGTATGTATTACATAGACAGACACACATATACATAAACATAGTATATTGTGTAATTAATTTATAATTTTGATCTAACATACGGTACTTGGGTGCATTTGTATAATGACTATATATGATTTTTTTACCAGTCATTGTTACTTTAATTATGGACAGACTGCACCTTGTAGGCAGACTTCTTAAAAAAAAAAAAAAAAAAAAGCACTTGCACCTTTCCCTGCTGAGCATACATTAAATCCTGACTTTTTTAATTGATCACTAACATGTAAGTCAATTAAAAAACGTTCACCATATGATCTGCCCATCACAGCGTTAACCCGCTGTAGTGATCTAACGCTTAGCATTAAAATCAGCCATGATGATCTGGAGTTCTGTATAGGAGTGGAGAAGAAAAAAGGGGGGCTAGAAGGAGAATAATGGATGTGCAGACTGGAGTCCACGATGTTTCCATCTTCACGCTGCGTGTTGTCATTGCCACAGACGATCGGGCAGTGTAAATGTTTCCATTAGTTGTCCTAAGTCAACATCGTTCATAAAATATTTAGAAAGTGACTCATTCCTCTGCAATTGCTATAATTAAATGTATGCAGAAGACGTAGTTAAAATGTGAGAACACACTCACCGTATGATAAATACAATTATATATCTAGATCTGTATATCTCTAGATAGATAGACAGACAAACATATTGGATCCAAGTTGTTGAAAGCTTGCTAATATTTGACCATTTACATTGTAATAGTGTAAGATCGAATGACATTGTACAATCAGGATCCATGTATGTAATGATCTCAGGTGTACTGTGCTTTGGATCCATCCCCAGGTCTCTATGTCCAGGTTAGAGGTCAGTGTTACTTAGGAGTGAAGTACCTGCTGCCCCCTCCACACTCCTGCCTGACCTTACACAAGGAAAAGTTTAAGCTCCCTACTTAGCCATCCATCACCGTAAATAAGGAGAGCTCAACCACACACTTCCTTTTTTTTTTTTTTCCTTTTTTGAAGCACCGAAACAAGATGAATGTGAAGAGCGATCGTGCGATCAGCCATAAATAAGAATTACAGCTGATGATGAATAATTGAGCGATGGGTGCACACAAGTGGCGATCATTGTGCAGGAAAACAGGGCAGGATGACTTTCACACTGGCATGATAACAGTTATCATCGGCTGTTCATGAGACAATGGAATCAGGGGGTCTGGGTTATGACAGGAGTCCCACCACAGGCTTCAGAAGGATCAGGGGTATAACAGGAGAATCAACACTATTGGGAAGGGTGACAGGCATGAGAAGGATCAGGGGTATGACAGGAGCCCTACCACTACTGGGAAGGGTGACAGGCATGAGAAGGATCAGGGGTATGACAGGAGCCCCACCAATACTGGGAAGGGTGACAGGCATGAGAAGGATCAGGGGTATGACAGGAGCCCCACCAATACTGGGAAGGGTGACAGGCATGAGAAGGATCAGGGGTATGACAGGAGCCCCATCACTACTAGGAAGGGTGACAGGCATGAGAAGGATCAGGGGTATGACAAGAGAACCAACACAACAGGGGAGGGTGACAGGCAGGAGAAGGATCAGGGGTATGACAAAAAAACCAACACTGCTGGGAAGGGTGACAGGCATGAGAAGGATCAGGGGTATGACAGGAGTCCCACAACTGCATGGGGAAGGATGAGAGGAAGAAGGATCAGGGCTATGACAGGAGTCCCACAACTGCATGGGGAGTGAAGAGAGGAAGAAGGATCAGGCTATGGCAGGAGTCCCACAACTGCATGAGTGAAGAGAGGAAGAAGGATCAGGGCTATGACAGGAGTCCCACAACTGCACGGGGAGTGAAGAGAGCAAGAAGGATCAGGGCTATGACAGGAGTCCCACAACTGCACGGGGAGAGAAGAGAGCAAGAAGGATCAGGGCTATGACAGGAGTCCCACAACTGCATGGGGAGTGATGAGAGGAAGAAGGGTCAGGTCTGACAGGAGTCCCACAACTGCATGGGGAAGGATTAGAGGAATAAGGATCAGGACTATGACAGGAGTCCATCCACTGTTGGGTAGGGATGAGAGGAAGAAGGATCAAGGCTATGACAGGAGTCCCACAACTGCATGGGGAGTGATGAGAGGAAGAAGGATCAGGGCTATAACAGGAGTCCATCCACTGTTGGGTAGGGATGAGAGGAAGAAGGGTCAGGCTATGACAGGAGTCCATCCACTGTTGGGTAGGGATGAGAGGAAGAAGGATCAGGGCTATGACAGGAGTCCATCCACTGTTGGGTAGGGATGAGAGGAAGAAGGATCAGGGCTATGACAGGAGTCCATCCACTGTTGGGTGGGGATGAGAGGAAGAAGGATCAGGGCTATGACAGGAGTCCATCCACTGTTGGGTAGGGATGAGAGGAAGAAGGATCAGGGCTATGACAGGAGTCCATCCACTGTTGGGTAGGGATGACAAGGATGAGGGATGGGATGTTAGTTTATTGTACAGATGAGCAGTACAAAGTTTTCAGTTGTAGTATGGAGTAGGAGATGGGATGGGGTGCTGTGCTGGCAGTAGTCTGGTGTGGCTGGTACAGTGCTGTGCCAATAGAGATAATCAGGACGGTGCAGTGACAGCACAGTATCCATCCCAGGCACTGGGGGAGGATGGAAGGCTCAGGTACTCTGCCAAATGAGCCCATCAAATGGGTGTGAGATCCAGCTACCTGATGTCTAGTGTCTGCTAGCACATGCTCCATATTAGTAGCTGGGAAATCCTCTAACACCCACTCTCAATAGCCAACATACGCCCCTGATGTGCGCGTGTGAGAGGGGAGGGTGATCATCCTCCAAGTGCCTCACTTCTTTTTTTTTTTTTTTCTTTAATTCTCCTAACCTGGGCCCCCCTCCCATCTAGCTCACCACCCACAGCATAAGCCATCAGGACCCACCCCCTCCTCTACTGGGGGGGGGGGGGGAGACAGGAGGTGAGAAGGACGTGGGAGCCGATCGCAGGGTCCAGGCAGCGGCTGCACGGCTCACATCACTCCGGAGGATTAGCACGGTGCCGGGACTCAGTTTCAAGAAGCAACCCTTCCCCTACCCCCTCCCCCACCCATAACCAGCCAAGAGAGGACCTGACTCGCTTTCGATCAATTGATTGTTGTCCCCCAATAAATAAATCAATACACGTTAACCCCTTCCTCCCCTACGGATCGATGGATGCTCCAGCCGGCCGTCCTCTCTAAAGTCGGACGAAGTGAACTCCATGGCCAGGAAGAGGAGAGGGAGGTGAAAGGTAGAAGAGAAGCCCAAGGTCGGCGATGGGGACAGAGCAGTGAGGGGCGGGGGAGGAAGTTTCAGCAACTACAAAACCCCACCAACTTTCCCAGGTGGAAGAGTCCCGGCAGAAGAGCGAGCCCCGCGGGGGAAGGGGTGGAGAGGAGCCCGAAGAACTCAGGGAGAAGGGGGGCGCGGAGCGAGGGAGAGGAGACTTTCCCCAAAAAGTGATGCTCCGTATATGTGCGTCCAGAAGACGAGGAGCCCGGGCGGAGGAGCGCTGCGCTGTGCTGCTGCCTGCCGCTGCCGCTGCGAGGGAGACTCATCACTTGGCAGCTAATTGCTTGAGCCCATCCCTCATTTCCATATGCAGTCTGTGTCCGCTGGCCCCGAGCCAATCCCCTCTCACCCCCGCCGCTAATCGCGATGCATTATTCACCATCACAATTATATACCGACATGCGCAATCCGCGCCGCACCGACACCAGCTAATTTCCGTAATTTTGCAACTCGACTATTTGTGAACAATTTTTTTTTTTATTTGCCACTGATGTATCTGCAAAAAAGCAGAAACGAGTCCCACTTCCCAGCAGCAGCATGTCTCGTCGAAAGCAAGCCAAGCCCCAGCATCTGAAATCAGACGAGGACATCGGGACTGAGCTGCTCCCTAATCACGGTAAGGGGAGCTCACTCCTCCGCCACCGACATACACTTCCCGACACTTTTCATCGGGGACGGCACACTTCCAAAGGGGACCTAGACTGTGCAGGCTGCCAGTGCTGCTTTTCTGCCTGCAAAAGGTTACTTCCCTGCCTGTCATGGGTCACCTCTTGTTTGGGGTCCCTTATCAGGAACTAACATACAAACAGGTCTGAATTTACAAACATGCCTACTTGTGTTAGGTCAAGGACTTGATACCCATTTGGTCAATGTAATAGCCAGATCACTAGCATCTTCAGAAGGGGGTGTCAGTGGCAGCCCCCCCCATGGAAAGGATTACTTTAAGTCACTCTTAGGTGGACTTTTGTGTGTGTGTTTGTGTTTCCAGGCTTTATTGTTTTTACGCATTCCAAAATTGGCAGTGTGAGTAGTAGCTTTGTGATTATACAACTAGCATCTTTGGAAAGGGAGGTTAATGGCAGCCCCATGGAAAGCCTTACTCTTAGGTGGACTTGTGTGCATGTTTTCACAGCCTTTATTGTTTTTATACATTCCAAAATTGTGAGTGACTTCTACAACTGGCATCTTCTCTTCAGGATCTTCAGAAAGAAGTGATGCAAATGGCAGCCCCCATAGAAAGGCTTACTTTAAGTCATTCTTAGGGGGACTTTTTTTATTTTGTTGTTGTTTTTTGGTTTTCTTTGTTTTTTTAGGCTTTATTGCTTTTTCACATTTCAAATTTGTGAGTATAAGAGGTGGCTTTGTGATTATATAACTAGCATTTTTAGAAAGGGAGGTTAATGACAGCCCCTATGGAAAGACTTACTTTAAGTCACTCTTTGAGGGACCTGTTTTTTTTTTCTTTTTAGCTTTATTGCTTTTACACATTGTGAGTATAAAAGTAGAAATTGGGAGCATAAGAGTATAAGAAGTGGCTTTGTGACTATAAAACTAGTATTTTCAGAAAGGGATGCTAATGGTAGCCCCCCATGGAAGGGCTTACTTTAAGTCACTCTCTGGCAGATGTGTGTTTTTTTTTTGTTTTTTGTTTTCTTTTGTTTTCTCTCTTTTAAACATTCCAAAAAAGTAAGCATACAAAGTGGCTTTGTGATTATACAACTAGCATCTTCAGAAAGGGAGGTGAATGGCAGCCCCTATGGAAGGGCTTACTTTAAGTCACTCTTAGGCAGATGTGTGTGGTTTTTTATTTTATTTTTGTTTTTTAAATTTTTTTTCTGCTTGTTTTTGCTCTTACACATTCCAAAAAATGTAAGTATAAGAAGTGGCTTTGGGATTTTACGAATAACATCTTCAGAGAGGGACATTAATGGCAGCCCCCATGGAAAGGCTTACTTTCAGTTACTCTTAGGCAGATGTTTGTTTGTGTATTCTTTTTTGGTTGTTTTTTTTTAGGTTTTATAGCTTTTACACATTCCAAAATTGTGAACATAGAAGTGGTATTGGGATTATACAACTAGCATTTTCAGAAACAGATGTCAGTGGCAGCCCCCATGAAAAGGTTTACTTTAAGTCACTCTTAGGGGGACTTGTTTTTTTCTTTAGGCTTTATTGCTTTTTCACATTCCACTATAGTGAATATAAGAAGTGGCTTAGCATTTTACAACCAGCATCTTTAAAAAGGGATGTCAGTGAAAGCCCCCATGGAAAGGTTTACTCAAAGTCACTCCTAGGTGGACGTGTGTGTTTTATACATTTCAGTATTGTGAATCTAAGAAGTGGCATAGTGGTTATACAACTAAAATCCTCAGAAGGGTCTGTTCATTGTAGCCACTATGGAAAGGTCTACTTTAAGTCACTCCTAGGTGGATGTGTGTGTTTTACACATTTCAGTGTTGTGAGTCTAAGAACTGGCTTAGTGGTTGTACAACTAAAATCCTCAGAAGGGTCTGTTAATTGTAGCCACTATGGAAAGGTCTACTTTAAGTCACTTTTAAGTGGATGTGTGTGTTTTACACATTTCAGTATTGTGAGTATAAGAAGTGGCATAGTGGTTGTACAACTAAAAATCCTCAGAAGGGGATGTCAATGACACCCCCCCCCCCCCCCATAGAAAGGTTTACTCCTAAGTTGACTTGTGTGTGTTTTTAGGCTTTATCGCTTTTACACATTTCAATGTTGTAAGTATAAGCAGCACCCTAGTCGTTATATAACTAGGATCTTTGAAAATGGGTGTCCATGGCAGCCCACATGGAAATCTTTCCTAAATGGACTTGTGTGTTTTGCACATTGCAATATTTTGAGTATAAGAAGTGCCTTGGTTTGAATCCCGGTCAGGACATTATCCATATGAAGTTTGCATGTTCTCCCTGTGCTTGTGTGGGTTTACTCCAAGTACTCCTGCTTCCTTCCATACTGCAAACACATGCTGGTAGGTTACTTGGCTCCTGTCTATATTGGCCTTAGTACATGTGAGATGGGACTTTAGATTGTAAGCTCCTTAAGGGCAGACACTGATGTGAAAGTATAACATGTTAAGCTCTGGATACATTTTTGAAGCTATATAAATGCCTGTAATAAAAATAGCATGGACCTAATATTGACATTCCTTTTTAAAAGCCAACCCTCCTGGATGTGTTAGAAGTTTAGCAGTATTTTCCACCTGCAAAGCAGAACAAAAGGGCACAGAAGAGTGAGGATGGTTGTGGTGGAGAGGCTGCCGAGGAGGTGTGACGGCTGCGTGGAGGTGGTGTGTTACTGGCAGGGGGTAGTGCACTAGCTAGGTATGTTCTTGACCTCTCCATGTTGGAGAAGAAAGACTAGCTGCAGAAAAGTTGCACAGAGCAGCGGGAGCTTGCATCCATCCCAGTCTGTGTCCTTCAACTGCAAGTACTAGGGGAATAGAGAAGGGGGAGGAGGAGGAGGGGGGCTTTGCTGATCTTGTTTTGGGGATGGAGAAAGATCGAGGCTTGTGAAAGCCTTTCCGGAAACACAGTGCATTCTCATGTGTGCACACACAAGAAGAGGTAGCTTCAATGCCTGCCACTGCCTCTCTCTGCTGGGGAGCTGCTCCCAGGTTCAACTAAAGGTGAGGGGATCCCGTGGGCTGCTAATGTTTGTTTGGGGCTACTTGGGGGGTTTGTTTTGTAAAGCTGAGTGTGGTTAAAAGGTTAGAAGGGACAGGGGGAGGGTGGAATGGTGTAAGACTAAGAGATCTCTTAGAGGAACAAGGGAGGTCCTGCATGGACTGCTGCTCCCACACGTCTCTCCTTTTTACCTGCTGCCAGCAACACACTGGCATTGAGCTGACACATAGATTGCCACTTCCATACACCCAGAGTTCTTGGTACACACATCCACCCCTTGTAATCAGCTTTTTACTTAAAAAAATTACTGCTATGACAAGTTTTCAGGAATTTCTAAAAAATAGTTTAGATTTGTAATTTACAATTTACTCTGATTACATACTGCCAACAATAAGGCCAGAAATAACGAAGTGGCCTATATAAAAAAAGAAATAATAAAACATGTCGGTGACTGTGGTATAGTACAATTTTTCCATAAAGTGACATCTGTTTCTCAGTGCAATGGAAGATGCTCTGAACTTTCTAGAAGCGTGTACTGTAATGATTTATTTCAGACATGCTAGTCATGGGGCACACACATCTGCCTTCCAAGTAGCCCTATCATCCCTCACTAATAACAGAGGAGAGATGAGGAAAAAAAGGCCTTGGTGCATATCCTTTGAGGCTGCGGTTCCCAGATGCTCTCTTTTATTTCACCAAACAGAACAAGTCATTGTCAGGCTACAGAAGAATTTCCTGGATTTGTAGAAGAAAGTATCTTTCTTGGAAACTTTTTTTTTTTTTTTATGGTCAGAATGAGTCTTATCTGTGTAGCTGTGTCACTAAAGATTAGAGCAGGAGATATGCTAAAAAGAAACGCTTGCATATGGTGGCTAGATTAGGAGCAAAAGGATCTTTTTGTCATGGAAATGGTTTTCTGTTTACTTCATCACTAAGCATTTCTTACACTTGGTTTGTTTTGTATTGCACTCAATGACTACATGATCAAATGAATGGATTTATTTCTGCAGAATGAGAAAGACAGCCTTTCCATCAAAAGGGCTACATTGCATCCCAGTGAGAATTTTTTGAAGCTTGATTATTGTGGGCTTTGAATAGCTCAAAATCTCTTTTCAAAAGTAGTCTCAAAAATTAAACTAAATAATTCAGAAAATGCAGACTGCGCTCTTATAAACCATATCTCATTAAGAAAAGCTAAATCCCTAAATTCAATTAAACAAAATCAGGATAGAACTGGAAATTTGGAATTTTTTGCGCAGTTGTATAGACTGGTTAAACTTTGGAAGCTCTTCCAGTAAGAGTTTATTAAAAAACACATATCTAGAAAATAGCATTAAAATATCTATTTCAAAATCATGTCAGTAATTTTTTTATCTACTCTGTATTCAAGTTCTTTGTGAGGTGTTTTAGAAGCATTAACAACTAACTTTGTGTGAACAAATATATCTACATATTTTTATGATAAAATAAGTGGTAAAAAAATACAAATATCAGACCATTGATGATTTTCACTAACACAATACACAAACACGTAGAATTCCTATTCAAATTAGAATTATTATTATTATACAGGGTTTATATAGCACCAACAGTTTGCTCAGCGCTTTACAATATAAAAATATAGAATGTAGTAGTAATGATTTAATTATGAATCCTTTTTTTTTAGGAATGATCCAAGTTATATATGCTAAACATATAGGTGTTAAATTAATATATTATGATAATAACCAAGTAGCATTTATATATATTTAGAGGTAGATTAAACCATATTTGTTTTTTTTTTTATTACATACTACAATGAACACAAATTTTTGTGATCTTCGTGGCACAATACATTTATAATACACAAATGTTCAAGTAATACTATCCAGATTGTTAGCAGAACAAGATTTTGGAATAATAAGAAATTATTGTTTATTTGGTTTGCTTTTATTTAACTCTACCTGAAATAAAGACATTTTAATTTTAGCAA